AACATTTGAAAAGTAGTGTACATATCATGCAATTATCTTTATTCTCTTAATATCCATTACAAATTTACAAACATTATACTTAAGCTTAAATAAAGGGGTGAAAACAACACCTACTTCTTTATTCTTTCTCCAAAGCATGCAATCTCCTCCAGAAGGTTCTGGACCGTAATGACAATCTCTTGAACCATGTGAATTTTCTCCATCAGACCTTTTCTTTCAGATTCCTACAAGAAGAAACATTTCAAAAGACCAAGAACATAAAATATCATGCTTATTTACTGGAATAAATGAATTTAGTAATATTCTGAATAGGAAAGAATTATACCTTTTCATCTTCATCTTCCTCTTCATATAACTCCATGGTGTCCTGCAAAGGAAAGGCTTTATATTTAAACATTTATATCTTTTTTTTTTAAATAACATTTATATTTAAACATTTAACTTTATATTTAAAATGAAAGTTAACAAGAACTTAAAACATTAAGGTCATTAAATAATATCTTGAGATAACAATACATATCGTAAATATGAAATCTTTGCTAATTCATGTCAGTCTATCTCATTTAGTCAGTATCAAATCACTAAAACAAATGCTTAACTAGATCCTTACTCGTGTTGCCTTTGATTGCAGAATATCAACCAAAGTTGGTTATCTGGAGTTTTACTAAAATGTGCAATTTATCAAAAATGGACCCACTAGATCTCTGGTGACTCTCTCAGAGGCGATCTGGAGATAGTTCCATACGATGAGAAGGACCATGAACAAGGGCAGCATGTAGAAATCCCAGTACCACACTGTAACAACAAAGACCTGAAGGAAAACACATGCAGGATTTAGGCTTCATGAAGACTGAGACTAATGAAGGGTCACATATTTGTCATGTAGTTACACAATCCCAATGCTTCTCTTAACAGTTCACGATTGCAAATGTTACATGATTAACTATATATTAAAAGTATTTAAAAAAGTAGTTGCATTTTTACTGGACATGGTACCACGGTACTACCATTGTATTCTTTGAAACAGGCCTACCTTTTACGAACACTGTGCAAATACCAGAGTATTTGAATATAGTAATACCATGGTAGGGATATGCCGGTATCAAATTTTCATGTTGTGATTAATTGCT